GGCCGAATACCCCAAGCTTGTACTTTACCCTATAAAACCTCATGTGCACATCTTGAAGGTGCTCAGAGCTTCGGAGCAGAAGCCCCTCTGAGCCCGCCGGCGTAATACGTCTGAGTGCTCCAATCCTCCGAGTGGTGCTTGTTTCTTGGCTGGCCTGTCATTTCCATAACAGTCTCATGATCACTGCTAATTTCCAGAAATCGTCAAACTCCTTTGATCAGCAGCAGGTGGCTCCATGGTGACCGTCAGGAACAGGAGTGGGTCTGTGAGGGGAAAGGAATGCATGAGAATTTTCTGCAAAAAAGCCCAGGAACAGATAAGGTTAAAACTTACAGTTAAGCTTCTTGTCTCGTGGCAACTAGGTGTACTCATTAGTGTAACAGAGATGGAGTTAACCGTTTATTCCTGCAGGCCTGTTCCCCACCTCCCCCGGGACTCAGGCCTTTGATCTTTAGCTTACAAAACCTGTTTTGCCCAAGGCTGTTTCCTGGTCCTTTTGCAAAGTGGCTGTAATCTTGTCTTCCTGCCTCAGTAGAAATTCAAATGTGAATGTGTCGTGGACCATTCCATCAAGATCCTCACAGCCCAGTACAGTTCTTGTGTGTTCTGCCTGTGCAAGTCACACGATGTCCATCACAGATACATCTGGATACCTCCCTACCCACCATGTTTTCTGCTTTTCCACAGGCTCTGACTTAAATAAAAATAGACTTAAGTTAACTGCAATTCTTTCACAAGCTGTGACTCCCCTTTTCCCATGTGGTTTACTGATTTCAAATTCCACCTTCTGTGGAAAGTCTCTCCTCATTTGCTCAAATCCAGTCACTCAGGTTAGCCCCCATTCTCCTGCAAGAGACTCTCGTGTCTCTACTGTGGTGTTTGTGTCATTCCACCTCATGTCACAGCCACGCACACGACACCCACGAGTACCAGCTCATTTCTGTGTCTCCCAGGGCACCAAGAACAAACACCATTCAACACTTGCCCAACTGAACTGCAATTAAGTGGCCCCTCTTTCAAAACAGGAAGTAGGAGGGTGGGGAAGCTGAGCCCTATGTGGCTGGTAAGCTGACCGGCTCCTAGGAGAAAAGTGGAGTGGACTTTGGATCTTTCTAAACATCCTTCATTGGAACCCAGTGCATTCATTCCCTGCGGAAAGACAAGCTGCCTACAGCAAACAACTGGGGAGAGGAACAAGAGAGCCGTGGCTGCTGGCAGAGCAAAGTGAGCACCTTCACACGGTGGGTGAGTGAGGGGTAAGGCTCTGCCGCCCAGTGAGCCTTGGAGGAACCCAGGTGTGGGGTGGAGCCCATGGCACGGTTTATTGTACCAGTTGCTCCAAAGAAACAGAGAGGAAAAAGAAAAGAAAAAATTGTTTTAAACCAGAGCAGAATTCACAAATAACCTGGAAAACTGAACAGCACGAGACACTCAGTGGTGGCCACACCGGCGGCAGGACTCCAGTTGAGGATGATGCTCTCCATTTAACTAATATTTATAGGACTGGGACCCTGGGGAATGCGTGTCCACCCGTCCAGCCTCAGTTTCCTTTTCCAGAAATTGAGAGAATTGGACTCACTGTTCTCCAACAGACTTTCGACCTCTGAAAATGTTGTAATCAGGTAGCTACTATATGCAAAGCGCCCTGCTAAGCATTACGAGAGACACAAACAGACACAAAGAGATACAGTCCTTGCCCTCCGGTAATGCTTAACTTCTTCGGGCCTTAGTTTTCTCATCTGTCAAGCTGTGCAGGTGTGCGGATTAAAGGTGATGTATTTGTAAAGCACTGCCTGCCTGACTCTCTGTAAGTGCCCTATAACTGGTACCTAGTAGTGTCTCTAAAGTGGGATTAATAAACTCATGGTGGGAGGAGATGCTCAAATGAGCTAATGGAAGCAAAAGTCCTTTTTCAAAGTAATCATGAGTGCACATGAAAGGGACAACTCTATTGCATTTGGTTTTTTTAGCAGCATGAATCCGACGACTTCAGCGGCCCCCCTGGCCAACTCTGTGTTTGTGGTGGCACCCCAAAATGGGTACACTGTGTTCCCGGGGGGCATGTCTCAGGTGCCCCTGTATCCAAACCAGCAGCCCCAGGTGCACGTAATTCATGGGAACCTACCTGGTTCACAACCATTTGTGAGTGAGCAGCTGGCCCAGAGGACCTTGAAAGAAGGCAAAACCTTAGGGGTAAGTGAAATTTCACTCTGTAGGCAGGGGCCACGTGGGTAGAGTGTGATGAGCACAAAGATCTATCTACAAGATGTTCATCACAGTGTTATTTACAATATGAAAATAATAGAGACAGTCTTCCTTGTAAATTATCTCCATTCTGACCACTCCACATCCACACCGTGGAATCTGGGCAGCCCTTAAAAAACATTTGAAGAATCCTTAATACCATGAGGACGTGTTCATGATGAAATATGAACTTAAACATAGAGAGATATGTTGTATTATCAATATGTAGATTTGAAAAGAGTGATGGAAGGTTAGACACCGAAACGTGAGTTGCTCTTTCCTCTGGCTGGTGGGGGAAGGGTGTGCAGTTTTTATTTCATGTTTATCTTTTCCATATTCCTTTGTAGACCAGGAAAACAAAAGATTTATTAGAATAAAAAAGAGGCACAAAGGGGAGGCCGGGTCCAGCCTCTGAAACAAAGGCTTCTGTTTGTGGTTCTCCCGACAGGCCGTCCAGATCCTCATTGGCCTGGTTCACATCAGCCTAGGCTCGGTCATGTGCACCGTCCTCTTGGGACAATACATAGCTGTCTCACTCTACGGGGGGTTTCCCTTCTGGGGAGGCATCTGGGTAAGTAACGCCAGCCACCCTGCAAGTAAGTCCCCGGGAGAGGGCTCCCACACGCAGGCCACCTTATCAAGCCGTGCCTTGCAGAAGGTTCTCAGCCCAGGGAGCAGGCAGGGTGTGAATCCAGCTCAGGTCTGATTCGCCAAGCATTTTACTTTGCCCGAGCTGCCATGACAAATGCCACTGACTGGGTGGCTTGCATAGCAGAAACGTATTACCTCACAGAGGTCTGAGATCAAGGTGTCTGTAGGGCTGGTTTCTTCTGAGGCTTCTCTCGTTGGCTTGTAGATGCCCATCTTGTCCCTGGGCCTTCACACAATATGTGTGCGTGTCTGTTAATCTCCTCTTGTAAGGGCATCAGTCCTACTGGATTAGGTCCCACCCTAATAATCTCATTTAACCTTAATCATCTCTTTAAAGGCCCTGTCTCCAAGGACAGTCCCATTCTGAGGTGCTGGAGGTTAGAACTTCAAAAGATACATTTTTAGGGGACAGAATTCAGCCTCTAACACCAAGGGACAGCTCTGCCAGGCAGCATTCACGCAGAGGCAGCACCTTTTCTAATCCACCTACCCTAGAGGTCACGGAACCTTTTTCTAGTTCTTCAGCACAGAGGTGGCACCTTTTTGTAATTCACACAAAAGCACACACGTGTAAAAAGATGTACTGGGAACAGCCCCCAAGCGTTGTTTAACATATGACCACAGCTTGAGCTCTGGGGGGAAAGCCTTTCCACGTGTGGTCAGGAGGCACTAAGCCATTAAGCAGTGGGGAACTCAGCCCTCTGATGGGTTTCAGAGTCCCCATTCTGGGAAAATATGTCATACGTTAGATATGGCAGTTATTTTTCTGGCAAAGTCCATGGCTTTCATCAGAATCTCAGGGTGATCTGTGACTCCCTGAAAGGTTAAGAACAGCAGGTTCTTTCTCTTCTCCAAGTTATTGCCTTTATGATTCTTTTGCATTCTCCTTAGTGTCCTCCCCCTACACACACACACACACACATACACACACACACACTCCCGCTTCCCTTCCCCACCCACCACTCTCACTTTTTCTCCCTGTTACAGAGTCTGTCCCTTGACTCACACACCTGCCTGGGACTCAAATGCAACCTTTCTCGTAAACAGCAAAACTCCAGAGTAACCGGGACGTCAGCCCAAGTCAACCTTCTCCCATGAAATTTAAATAAAATAACCTAGAGTTGCCCCCACCCTCCTACCCACACAACTGCTGCGAGATGGCAGAGCTTCTCTTCTTGGGGGCACCCTTCTCTGAGTCCCTGCTCTCTCTCGTTCCCATCCGGGGCTCGTCTCGCGAGACTGAGGCTTTCTCTCCGCTCTGCACAGACCTAACTTGGAACCAGTTCCACTCTCTCCCCTCAAGCACTCACTCACAAGGCAGCTGTGGAGTTCAGGGCACCAGCCACAAAACGACTCGCTATTGAGTACTAGATTCCAGTGAGTATTACATGCCAGGCAGGAGGCTGGCCTGGCATCTCAGATGCCTCACTGGCCATCTCTCCTTCGCCAGGATGCTCAGAACCCTTCAGCTCTCGTGACCCCTCCTCCCTTTTTTCCTGCAGTTTTGTTTGTTGCCATCTCAACCCCAGGACGATATTTCTGTTTCTTAGAGATCGCTAACATCCTCTTCCAAAACAAAGTCACATCTCCTTCAGGACCTCAAAAGGACCAGCAGGGACTTCAGAAATCCCGCCTTTTGTTCCCTTTCTTCCTCATCAAGTCTCTCTAAACAGAAGGGTGTACAGTGGAGATTTGTTTTTCCACTTACAGGGAAAATGACATTCCCCTTAGAAGGCATACACAGCTAGAGTAAGTTTTCACATAAAAAACCATTTCCACTCCACTGCAAAAGCATCTACCCTGAGTGGGAGGGAGCACAGGATGAGGGTTAAGAACAGGAGATCGGGAGTCAACCACGTGTATCTGATTCCCAGCTCTACTACTTGCTGGATGGTCTTGGGTGAGCTGTTTTCAATCTCTTAAGTCTCAGTCCACGCATCTGTAAAATGGGAAGAATAATGGTGCCTGATGGGCCATCAGGCAATTCAATAAAGCAAGGTTTACAAAAAGCACTTGATGTAGTGCTCAGCAGAGCTTTTCCAAAACCATGGCTGATGGCCTCGCAACCCGCTGTAGCTACCACACTGGGCAAAGGATGGCAGATAATCCCATCAACCACTCTGCCTGCAGATGCCAGTGCTGAAATAAATGCACACAATCTACCTCATCGTCTTCATATTTGATACTCAGTGTCGTAAAGAGGCAGCATTTTTCTGCGTAACTAAAAAGTACTCACCCAGATGTGCAGACAGGCAAGGACTGATGTTGGGCACAAATATTTAGAAGCGGAGCAGACGCTGGTAACCCCTTCCTTCTTCTCTGTAGAGCCCCTGTCCCTGACTGAACCCTGAAATAAGGATGGGAGACCAATGAGAAGCTCATGTGGGAAAATAAAAGAAAGAAAACAAGTGACATTTACTGAGCACCTCTTATGTATAGGACCTACTATGTGCAAGACAGACTAAATGCCAGATGCGGGGCATAAATTACCACATGACGATGACACTTAGGAATACATGTCCTTTTTCCATTTTTCAGATGAGGACATGAATACTTAGAGAAATTAGTGACTTACCCAAGATCACATGAGTTTCAAGCCAGAATTTAAGACCACGTCTGCTGATACCACTTCACTGCCCGGTCATGTGGTGCCAAATAGCCCCCTCATTCATTCATTTATTCATTCATTCTTTTCCCCCGTGTTGAGCTGGGGTCCCAGTGGAGGAGCCTAGTGCCCATGAGAGAATGTGTGTGAGAACAGAGTCATGGAAACCTGAAGATGGGGGCCTTAACCTCTGACCTCTTTCTAAACCCCATCTCTCCCATACCAGTTCATCATCTCAGGAGCCTTCTCAGTATCAGCAGAAAAGCAGCCCAAATCTTCTTGCCTGGTAAGTCACCTCCTGAGACCGGCTGTCCCAGCTGCGGACCTATGGGAGAGACACACTAGGGGAAAAGAAGGTTAACACACCATCCTTCCCCATCCTTGCACCTACTTATAACCAGACACGGGGCCCTGACACACGCTCACTCATCCTCACACACAGGACTGTGAAGGAAAAGCCGGGCTGGGCTAACAAGATAACTCATAAATCTAAGTGTAGTAAGTGATGGTTTACTGATCTAAGTTCTGCCGGGCTAACTCGTAAATCTGAAGTTTAGTGTCAGTTTACTGGGCTAACAAGCTAACTCGTAAATCCAAGCTCAACAAGTGTCAGTAACGTGACCTGTTCCTAATAGATAAGTTCCAGTGTACTGATTCCCTGGTTTTGCTGTTCAAGCCTTATTGGCTAATAGCCCCGAGCTTGTAATTAACCCTATAAAACCCCATGCACACATCTCGGAGGTGCTCAGAGCTTCGGAGCAGAAGCCCCTCTGAGCCCGCTGGTGTAATACATCTGAGTGCTCCAACCCTCCGAGTGGTGCTTGTTTCTTGGCTGGCCTGTCATTTCCGTAACAGGACCACATGAACCTGGCCAGAGTCCCAGGAAGGAAAGAGTCCAGAGGATTCAGGGGAGGGGACAGCAATACAGCCACTTTAGTTACGGCATCAGAATGTGGAGACAGAGACAGAACAGCTTCCCTGCACAGCTGTGAGAGGGGCCAGGATGAGGCATAGAGCTTCCGGGGACCAGGGCTCCTCTCCAGCCGAGCAGGACACTGACAGTGCCCGCAGCACACAGAGCAGACCCCCACTGTTCTGCAAGGAAGCTGGGAAGGCTCAGGCACCTGCCTCCCTGAAGAATCCCTCCAGCCGATCTCCCTAAACCAACACGGAGGAGGCTTTGTGGTCCCCCAGCAATGGACAGAGAGTGTAGCTTTGTTCCTCTCGCAAGCAGGTTATCTAGGGTAAGGGGTTTCAAGATGTCCAAGTCCCTACATCAGATGAAATCTATTTGAAAGTCTCCAAAGAGAAGCTCAGAATTCCGGGCATGTCTTTCTGCACATGGCCCAGGATCCTGGAGCATCAGAGCCTGTCACATCCCAAGGTACTGGGGCCAAGCCTCCTGCCTATCTCCTGGCGCTTAAAAGGCTCAAGTGTTTCCCAAAGATTATTCTTGGGGACACTTACTCTGTAAAAGCATACTTGGGGAAATTTCTATTTAGTTATCCCCTCTCTGGAAGGTCCGTAATCCTCGTTAAGGGCTCTAAAAAGTCCTGCAGCAAAGATATATTTAGCTTTTTTTTTTAAGTATAGTCAGTTTACAATGTTGTGTCAATTTCTGGTGCACAGAATAATGTTTCAGTCATACATATGCATATGTATATTCCTTTTCATATTTTTTTCTTTGTAAGTTACTACAAGATATTGAATATGGTTCCCTGTGCTAAACAGTAGAAACTTGTTGTGTATCTATTTTACATACAGTCATTTATATCTGCAAATCTCAAACTCCCAATTTATCCCTTCCCCTGGACAACTATAAGTTTGTTTTCTATGTCTGTGAGTCTGAAGACCTGTTTAACTCTGTTCAGCCTAGTTTTTTCTAAGTTCATCTACCCCAACACCTTTTTTGCACAGAACACAGCTTCACTTGCTGCAGGACTTGGGTTCTGGGAATTCACATTAAGAAACACTTGAGTTGCTGCTCATCTCAGTTAGAGCAGTTTTCCTCTTCCACTCTGACCCTCTGTGTCTTCTTCAGCTGAAGGGCAGCTTGGGCTTGAACATCGTCGGTGCAATCTTCTCTATGGTTGGAATCATCCTCTTCATCACAGACATTTGTATATTCCCGTTCTACGTGTACCACAGCTATCCTGACTATGCCTTCTGGGGTGTGGTGAGTATGCTCCCTGACCAGTGCTCCTCTGGGTTCCAGCTTAGCTTGGTTTAGAAAATTGTTACAAAGGGCCTGACAACCGAGCTTCTCCACCAAGCACCGTAAGAACTGGAATGGTTTAAAGTCCCTGGCCTGTAGTTTTACTGTTGTGTTACTTTAAGAATGTGACTTTCTAAGCCTTAGTTTCTGCTTTTGTAAAACAGTACCTACCTTGTAACAGTGCTGAGAGAATTTGATGCAATTATACATACAATGCATATGTACTTGCCAATCTGCACTTCTGCTCACTTTCTTGCCTTCCTGACCATTATTAGGGACAAAGAATCAGCAGACGTGTTCCGTAAAGTGTCCAAGAGTATAAATATTTACAGCTTTACAGGCCATCCGGTCTCTGTTGCAACGACTCAACCCTATCCTGCAGTCAGAAAGCAACCATAGGAAATGCATAAACAAATGAGCTGGGCTCTTGCTGATAAAATTTTATTTACAAAAATAGGCAACAGGCAGGATTTGGCCCATGGACCATAATTTGTCAACCTGCACTATATACAGATCAGCCCCATCCAATCGAAATAGAATGTGAGCAGCGTATGTGACTTTAAGTGTTCTCACCACCATCCTGTAAAGGTGGGAAAAAATAAATGAAATTCATTTTAATGTCTTATTTAACCCAGTATATCCAAAAGGTTACAGAACTTATGTAAAAAGATTCTTAGTTTGATACTTTGCATTTGAGATATTAAGTCTTTGAAATCAGTGTGTATTTCATATTTGCAGCACATCTCAGTTTAGGACCAGCCACATCTCAGGTGCCCAACAGCCACTCGGGACCGGGAGCTCCCGCGTGGAAGGATGCAGCTAGAGATGAATCCCACATAAACTCACTCTCCCTGTCTGCACAGGAGTCCGTCCTCCCCCGCCCGCTCCAGGCTGTCACTCCCAGTTCCCCTGCCCTCCTCCCACTGCCTCTCTTCTATATAATCCATTCTCCCCACACCCTACTAGAGCTTTTCCATCAGCATATAAACAGGCTTTTGTTTCTTCCATCATGAAAAACAAACCAACCAACCAACCTCCTCTTGGTCCTATTTCCCTTGCCAGCTTCCCTCCTGTTTCTCTGGTCCTCTTTGCAGAAAAATCCTTAAAAGAATTATCTGCACTCACTGCTTCCAACACTCCCCTCTCAACGTCTCTCTTGAACCCATTCTGATCAGACTTTTGGCCTCACTTCTCTAAAAACCACATCTGTTTCAACTCCCCAATCAGGCCCCCTCTTTGATGGAGGTCACATGGCATCCAGGCTCCACCTGAAGCTGGTCCTCCTTAACCCTCTCTCCTCTGTCTCCTTTGCTTCTTCTCTGTTTCCCACTGTCGCAGGCTCAGTCCTTGGTCCTCTTTTTGTTCCTCTGCATGCACCGCCTTGGCCCTCTCACCCACTGGTGATCACAAAACACCTTCTGAACTCCAGAGTGAGGAGCTCCAGCCAACACCTCTCTCCCCAGCTCCCATCTCTGGTATCCAGTTGTACCGTCAACATCATTTCCTTTTTTTTTTTTGTGGTGGAGGACTGGGGATTGAACCCAGGACCTTGTGCATGCTAAGTATGCACTCTACCACTGAGCTAGGGGGATGGCATAGCATGCACAGGATCCTGGGTTCAATCTCCAGCACCTCCATTTAAAAAGAAATAAAAAAAAGTAATTTCAGTTCTGCCAATATCTGATCCCAGAAAG